CGAGGGAGGCAAGGGTCGCTACAGTCGAGTAAACGTTTCTTTTGTTCCTTTTGATTGATTGTTATCGAATGCACATGAACTTCCCCGCTGGGAGTAACAATTTTCACATGTACCGTACCGAAAATACTCTACAATCAGTAGCGAGTGTTTTCCTCTTTTTTTATTTGTCAAAAAACTTTCTCCATAGACAGAGGAGATTAAATTCGAAAGTTTCACCGAAGCAACAAATTTTTTGATCTGTCATTAATGAGAAATTTGACACAATTGAGAACTACACTCGCCGACTGACTGTGTCCTTCTTTCTCTTCTTCACCTATGAAAACTTTGTAATAGAGAAGAGTGAATTCGAAAGTGAACTGAAGGAACTTTCGATTTGTCATTAATAAGAAATCTTTTAATTGAAAGCTATCGCAGAGTGAGTGTTCTTCCTATCTATGAAAACTTTATGACGGAAAAAAGTAGATTCGGGAGTGTTTACGACAGAAGAAATTTCGATTTATTGGTGAGAAATTTTCAATTAACTATTGTGGGAAATTTAAGTTTTATATAGAGAGTTCCGGGGAAAAACTTAGACTGCTTTTTATACTTTTACAATAATTCAGACAAATTATTGTCTTCGAAATTTCGAAGTCTTGCCATTAGTAATCATAGCAAAATAAATACTTTCGTGCAATTATGCAATTTCATATTTTTCATAAACGCATTCTAACCATCACTGATATTTTTACTCAAACTAATACTCAACACTTTTTGTACGTTTGTTTTTTGCAAAAATATCCAAATTAGTACGTCTGTATGCTTTCCTTCCTATGGAATTTCTTCAATTGAAGAGCAAACGAAAATTTTTCTCCGCCACGCTGTAAAAACACAACTCTCTGACTTTATTGAACGATAATATTTGTAGAAAGATAAGCAACGTAATTGCTATCTTGAATGTCTTTAATTTGAGCCTTTTGTCTAGTAAAAAACGCCCGCAGCTATACATGGTATACATAGTTTACTTAGAGCTCCTCCAAAGGATCACTGTAGATCTATCCTAAGCTTTGTCTTTCGTCCAGGTTCATCCATCTTTTCGTGTGGCCTACCAATTCAAACCGTGATGAACTTCCAACGACTTATTAAACCGACTGCAAAAGACTGTCATTAGTTCTTCAAAGAAAAGAACAGTTTTTTTTCACTGTTGATCTTGTCCCATAGTCTGTTCATATTGACAACAGTGAATAAGTTTAATATTGGCAGCCATTTTTCAACAAATGTACAGTGCAATGTATACACAGTTCTTTTAGTGATGAAACTATAGAAACTAGAAATGTATAATTTCAGTCAACAAATCTGTATTTCCCTTAAAAATATATTATAAGAAAGATTAAGTTATATATTGTAAAACATTTGCCAGAAATTGATAAAATATTGAAGTTTAGAATTTATCTCGATTTGTACATCTATCTATGCCAAGTTAAAATATATAGGAGTAGAAGAAAAGATTTGAGAACACATGAACTTTATATGTTTTATGAAAAATCCATTCAAATCTTCAGAAACACTTTGTTAAAAATCTGTAAGTTTTTACGAGAAATTACGAATTAATCATTTTAATTGATCTGATAATTGCAGTATTAATGCTACAACTATTGATGATTGAAGCACTTTCATCAAAGTAAAAAAAAAAAAAAAAATAAAAGAATTTTATAACACAAGCTTTCATTTACATATTTGACGAAAAATAATTTAAATAATTATAATATAAAATAATATATAAAAAAAAATAATAAAATATTATAATATAAAATAATATAATAAAATAATTTCCATTAAAAGTGCACTGTTTTACGTTCACAAAATTTCTAACGAAAATTATAAATTATCTATACATTCTGATCACCTCGACAGTTTATTAGTGGTAATGCACGCATGCACTATCAATGTTTTAAAATTCAATCTCTATTTCCATTGCGAAAATCATTCTCTGGAGAGGCATTTCCGTGTCAGTTGTTCACCAATTGACGATAATCGCGAATAAGATATTCTGTACTGATTGACGTATAGCGCGACGCGATAATCAGCAGGGATAGTAAACGAAAAGAAGATGCCGGGAAGATGGTACAAATGCAACTAGGTTAGCATGAATAACAGAGAACGAAGCCAGAGACAACTTGCATCCGTAAAAAAAGAAATCGGGAGAGTATGGACGCAAGCATCTGCCTACTTTTCTGTCTTTCACTCGCAGTGCCTCAGTGTTCACTATTGCAGCTCCTAATTGCAACTTGAAGACTCAAGGGAGCAAAAATGGCGTAATGATACTTGACGCTGCTCTTCGTTTCAAGTGCATCGAGCCTACCGCCATTCTGTTTTAGCCCCGTGCATGATCTCTCTCTCTCTCTCTCTCTC